GGGTATGTTTTGTACTCTCGTGAAAATGATGAAAATAATACCTAAGTTAAATGATTTAAAGTTTTCTTTTTATTTTGAATGAAAAATAAATGCGATCGTTAATATCGATCTTGGTAAAATGTAAACCTGTAATCATATGACTACTTATACATAATTTTACTATATTATAGGCCTAGACTAGGACCAGGCCTCCTACTATACTGCCGTGATTTGGAAAAAGGCATTAACTCCAAAATCCTAGTTTTGAGTTATTGAGCAAAACGCGTTTGTCGTTAGCCTTTTGTACTGGAAATGAATTCTAGTAATTTTTTTTGGCAAATATACTAAACATATAATTAAAAAACATATTAAATAATTTTCATGGTGATTTTTCTTCTTTAACCCTATTTAAATGGAGATAATGCACTATTCCAAATTTTAGCAGGAGTCAATGGTGCGTGAAAAATCTGAAGTTAGGCATTAACTCCAGTTTTTCCAGTGAAATGTGTATCTTACGTAGCCAAATTACAGTATTTCTGACAAACAAATAATGTATGCCAGTGTCAATTATATATTTCACGAAATTTAGTCCATGTGGTAGAAGATTTTTTAATATGCCATTTTTTTTAAACCGAAGTAAAGCTAGGCATTATGTGCATTTACAAGCTATCATGACTAATTAACTATGCGTAATTGTCTTCTGTGATTGGTTTATTATGATCTGTTCATTGTTTGGTGGAGATAATGCCTTCTTCCAAATTATTCTGCATTCATGGATAGGAGTTAATGCGTAAATATAATATTTATTTCATATTTCTGGACATTTTTGGGGGTATATGATCAATTCACATGATATATTACATCTATAGGATGCCATAGAAACAAAAATCCAAAAATCTCAAAAAGTGGAGTTAATGCCTTTTTCCAAATTACGGCAGTATAGTATAGGGGCCTAGTCCAAGACCTTGTTGCAAATCCCAGCCCACATAAGCCTAGCCTATAATGCCAAGCATAGGGCTCGTGATCGCGGTATCCTGACCATTAAAAATTAGCAGACGCACTGGGAAGCGTTGTTCACGGCATTGGACTGCAGCGAAAAATGATTCCCACATCATTAATGGGACAGGCCCACGTCATGCTTGGCTGATTAGTTTTGCTTTACATTTCGCAAGTCTAGTGCCATACGCAGCAAAAGTCCGTTTCTAGTGTTGTTGTCAAATGCATTTCATAACCAGGCTGGTTTTTTATTTACGTTTTGGAATAGAATTTGGAGAGGGTGTTTGATCAAGTCAGACCTACGTTTTGAATTTGAATTACATTTTAAAGAAATTAGAACTACATTTTGAAAAATGTTAACTTCATTTTGGGAAACTAGATCTACGTTTTGAGAAATTTACGCCTACGTTTTGATAAATTAGACATTGAATTTTGCAATCACATTTTGATTTTAACATGGACTTTTGCTGCGTATGGCACTGGGAAGCGTTGTTCACGGAATTGGACTGCAGCGAAAAATGATTCCCCCATCATTAATGGAACAGGCCCACGTCATGCTTGGCTGATTAGTTTTGCTTTACATTTCGCAAGTCTAGTGCCATAAAGGGGATTAGTCCATTTCTAGTGTTGTTGTCAAATGCATTTCAAACCAGCCTGGTTTTTGATTTACGTTTTGGAATAGAGTTTGGAGAGGGCGTTTGATTAATTCAGACCTACGTTTTGAATTTGAATTACATTTAAAGAAATTAGAACTACTACGTTTTGAAAAATTAGAACTTCATTTTGAAAAACTAGATCTACATTTTGAGAAATTTACGCCTACGTTTTAATAAGTCAGACCTACGTTTTGAATTTGAATTACATTTTAAAGAAATTAGAACTACATTTTGGAAAATTTGAACTACGTTTTCAAAAATTAGAACTTCATTTTGGGAAACTAGATCTACATTTTGAGAAATTTACGCCTACGTTTTGATAAATCAGACATTGAATTTTGCAATTACATTTTGATTTTAACATGGACTTTTGCTGCGTATGGCACCCCATAGGAAACCACGCAGTAAACTATACTGCATTGAAACTTACCGCTCTCCATGAATAAATTTACATCCCCCACCCACACACACACACGCACAAAGAGTAGAAGACAGGCGTATTATAATTATTGTACCATGGACCCCAGGGCCCGTTTTACTCGATCCCATTGTAGGCCTAACTATTCACTTCACAAGACAGCCCCCCCCCCCCACGCCGCC